CCCAAGAGCCAAGCCCGAACGGCACCAGCATTGCATCGGAAAGGATCACGGGGATGCAGCCTGCGACATGTCCAGCCCTTTTGTGTCCTGGTTTCCACCTGCGTCGCCCCGCCAGCAAAAAAGGCTTCAAAGAGGCGCCCATTGGTAAAGCCAACGCCTGCGAGGCCGAGCAGTGCATGTCGTGCAATCATGTGCAATCATGTGCAATCGGGCATTCGCGCCTTTTGGCACCAGGCAAAAGCGGCAGTCACCAACTCGCTGGTAGTAATCCTGAAAGAAGAAAATCGGAAACAACCTATGAGAATCATTCACATCTGATTTGCATCCACAGACCCAGCAGTCCAGAAGCGGAGTGATGTGTGGCCCGATACTTGCATCAGGCCTCACCACAGAACAGCAAAGCACATTTTTCCTGGGAATCAAAATCCTTTTAACCTTGGAACCATGCTCGCTGGCCAGAGCTCGGATTTGGCGCCGGGTCTCTGCAGCGCTGACATTGAAGCCTCGCTTGCCCAAGCCGCGGGTCAAATCATGCATGCGGGAATCACCTTCCTTTAGGGACATGTACAAGAACACACACACACACAATTCCCAGCCATAGACACCAGAAAGGCAACAGGCTTTGGGACCAGCGCCAGGCCTTCCGCATGCGTTTTCTCGTACAGCTCGTGTCGCAGTGCGCCATGAAAGCCTCTGGTGCAAAGCTCTTAGCTTTCTCCCTCGTGCGCCCTCTCGTACGCCAGCGAATCGGCTTCACCAAGACAGTCTTAGTTTACTCTTTTCATCTCTCTCTTCATCTCTTTTCTCCGATCGATTTGCCGTGGAGCAGAAGAGAAAGCGGCGGTGCTCCGCGGGACGGCTCTGCTCCCGCAATCGGCGCATGGCCCACAGGTCTGTGTGGCCCGGGACCACCACGTCCTTCCGCTCGTCGAAGCAGCTCGTGCCTGCAATGGCAATGCAAAAGCGAAAGCTTCGACGCAAGGCGAATCGGCTTTGTGAGAAAAACGATCGAAAGTCTCCGAACAGTTCAGGGTGTTCAGGGTTCGCACTCTCATGGGGAAACTCAGGCATCTGCAATGCCGGTACTGGATCACATCCATCAGGGGGTTAGCCTCCACGGCGAAGATCTTGGACCTTGCCACGTGGGCTTCCCAGGAAGGGAAGTCCCAGAACTCGTGGGCAAAGTGGAAGATGTGCTGCCTCGGGTCTCATGACAAACTTCCCTGACAGCCTGACGCTGCATTTGATACACAGGATCGACATGGATGCATGGATGGACAGATGGATCGCTCGAAGAGGCCGGATAAAGAAGAGAAGGAGAGAGGAGAGGAGAAGAGAGAGCAAAGAAGAGAGAGAGCAAAGAAGAGAGTGAGAATAGAAGAAAAGTAAATAAAGAAGAGATTGAGAACGTGAAGACGCTTTAAATTTGAAACTTCTCCCGGGCTTCGCTGGCTTGTTTTCCACATGGGAGCCTCCGGCGGTAGACATCGAAGTGCTCCAAGGACTTGACAAGAGCCACGTTGTGCCTGTCAAGCTCTTCCGTCTCTTTTCCCGGCTGAATGTTGAGGTTCCTCGGGAGATCAGAAAGCAAACATATTACGCAAGCGCTTGAGGCAAAAAAGACAAAGCGATTTGAAACACTTGGTAGGGCTCAAAGCAACTACGAAAAGTCGGCACGCTTCAAAGAAACTCCAACTCAGCATTCTGTCAAGTGCATTCATGTTGTGCATCCGAGGCAAACACACTGAACAGTTTGGATTCTGGCTTTTTTGTTGTCTCGTTTTGTGCAAATCTGTGAAAACTGGTGGCTGGAAGCAGAAGGAGTAGAAGGGCACGTAGAAGAAGTCCGCAGCATGTGCGTCGAGCGTGCGGCACGCGCTACGCAGCAGCCAGCGGTGCAGCAGCACCTCAGAGCCCTCCATCCCCGACGCGCAGAGAAGCACCGGCTTGGAGTAGATCCCCGTGTCGTACACGAAAAAGCGCAAAGAAGTCCTCCTGCGAGCGAAACGAGAACTCGCTGACACAGGGGAAGCTATCCGAAAAAAAGAAGAAGAGGAAAACACCACATGTCCAGGGAGTCCCGCTTAAGAAAACCACGGAAGCTATCCGACGAGTTCCTCTCATCTAGCCGCTGAGCCAAGAAGCGCTACAGCAGCCCAACAACTTTTCTGTGTTCATGTCACGCCTGCCAAATCAACTTACAAGTCGTGCATCGGTAACTGCAAAATCTACCAACACGTCTTGCTTGCCGTCAGCAAACATATAGTCCCAGCCAATCTGGTAACTATGCTGAGTCCCAGCCGAAGGCTCCAAAGCAATGAAAACCCATGTTTCCACATCGACAGCATGAGACCCGTGCACTCAGGCCAACTTGTTTGCGTACGGCAGCTTGAGTCCCGTGCGATCTAAACTTACAGTATCAGAGTCGCCCAAAGAGTGAGCACTCACACGTCCAAAGCGCTGCGCCTGCCACGAAACCAGGGGGCTCACATTTCGGTAGCACCTTGATTTGGGCTCTGCTTTCCTCAAACCAACACGATCACGATCAAGTAATGCTTAATCGGGTTGCACACAAAGGGCAGCAAGTAGTCTCGCTGCGCACCGATCTTTTCCATGCAGCTACCACCGGTACGCGGTGTTTGGCTTAAGGGTTCCCTATAGTCAGGGCCGAATATGCACGCGGGTCACCAACCATGTCTGGACAAAGGGCAAAATGCCTGAGGCTGGATCACTGACATGCCCCAAAAGGTTCTGACGAAGCTTGCCGTTTTTGGCCGCTTCTCACAAACCTGGAAGGCTTCCTCGATGCGGTCTTGCGGAACCAGAAAGTCGCACCCTCATCCGCCAGGCTGGTAGACACCGAGGTAGTCTGTCCTCTGATGGATCTGCCCTCATGGCTATGAAGCCACCGTCCACGAACTCTCCGTGCAGGTGTCGCTCTTTGGGGTGAGAATCTTCCTCCCAGGCGTTGGCTTCTCCTTGTTCGGCTCCTCAGGGTAGCCCTGCTTGGCGAGCGTTTTGGCCTTCTGAGCCTTGATGACTTCCAGGCGTTTCATGAGGCTTCTTTCCGCTCCCTCGAGAGATCGCCTGGCTCTTGAGAAGAGGGTTGCGGGCGGCCCAAGATTCCACCACCTCGCTCGGCAACGGTCCGGCTTGTCTGGTCATGCCGCGAGCCCCGTATGCTGCTGTGTAGGTCAGTCTGAGCTTGCGTGCCGCGCGCGCCGTCCAAGCTGCATGAGCGTTCGATCCCGAGACCGAGCTCCTGATGGTGGGCCTGCCAAGCGAGGATCGGCGTCCGAAGTCGAACTTCTCCACTGGGAACCCCTTCGTGGCCTTGGCTTTGGCCTTGGCCTTTGCTGCTCCCTTTGCCGCCGGGACGGTCTCCGAAGTCTTGCCACTGGTGGAGTTCCTGATCGTCTCCTTCACGGACGCCACGGCGAGAGAACAGCGAGGCTAGCGAATTGGATTGGGCAAGGATGGCTGGCTCAAGCGCTTGTGGTCTATCTCCTGAGTGAGGAGCCGTGCCCTGGTCTCACCTCTCTCACGTAGTCCGTAGCCAAGTGACCTTGAAGCTGTTCTGGTTTGATGCTCCAAAACGACCTTCGGCGAGGGCTCCTGGCGTCCCGTGAACTCCAGCTGAAGGCACTCTTCGACCTTCGACTCCTCCACGAGCAGGATCCACCTCCAGCTCACCCAGGTGACCAAGACGTCCGGCATGCCTCTCGGTCTGGCCACCAGCCTGCTCTGTGGCAGGCTCCGCACCAGTTTCGGTAGCATCTTGATTCGGGCTCTGCTTTCCTCAAACCAACACGATCACGATCAAGTAATGCTTAATCGGGTTGCACACAAAGGGCAGCAAGTAGTCTCACTGCGCACCGATCTTTTCCATGCAGCTACCACCGCGGTACGCGGTGTTTGGCTTAAGGGTTCCCTATAGTTAGGGCCGAAAATGCACGCGGAGTCAGTCACCAACCATGTCTGGACAAAGGGCAAATGCCTGAGGCTGGATCACTGACATCACACGAGCGTGCGCGACAACATCCAGTATCTCTAGACACCTCTCAAATTGATTGGATGTATTGGATTGGATGGGATTGGTTTTGATTTGATTTGATTTGATTCCGTTTGATTGTTTTGATTTGATTTGACTTGATTCCATTTAGATTGATTGATTGATTGATTGATTGATTGATTGATTGATTGATTGATTGATTGATTGATTGATTGATTGATTGATTGATTGGTTGATTGTTTGATTCATTGCTTAATTGGTTAATTGCTTAATTGGTCAACTGAGTTATCCGTTGTGTTGATTTCATTTATTCGTTCGTTGATGTATTGAGCTATTGATTTATAAGTGAGTGAGTGAGTGAGTGCGGGCGAGACTTAAAAATAAGAACCCCGCACAAAGATGCGGGGAATGAATTCGGCAAACAGATGCAAACAGGATATTCGTCTCCTTTGTCCCTCCTTCCGCACATCGCCGCGTCCGCCGGGGGGTCCAGGCCCAGGAGTTTGGGCGCCGAGTCGTGCCAGCTCAGGTTCACCCGCCAAGCATCGGACCCTCAGTCGCGTTTGTGCGACGCACTTCACATGTCACCCCCACCCCCTCCTGACAGCTTCACCGCTTCCTTGTACACCTCCAAAGCGGCCGACTCCCCCTGGTCACGATCCACGTAGGCCAAAGAGTGAAGCATCACGGCAGCCATGCCTTCGCAAATCAAGCGAAGGTTCTGAGCTGTGCCCAAGCGGAAGTATCAAAGTTCCTGTCAGAACTGGATACGCAACATGTCAGACCTGCACACTGCGTCCCCGCTGGTGCAGTCTTGAAGATGTCATAAAGCAGCTCCCGCCCCTCTCGGGGAAGCGGATTCACAGCCTCAATCTAACGAAGTCAAATGTCAAAACAGGTCTTTTTGCTCTGCGGCCCAGACCGCAACTTCGTCCAAATACTGCACATAGTCCCACGTCTCAGGCTCGCAGGCAAGGGCGAGCTGCGCGTACCTTCGGACCCATTGACAAACTGGAGCAGCACGAACTTCCCGCCGGACAGGGGCACATGAACAGGACCGGCAGCATTTCATGGTGTTGTGGAAAAGACTTTGAATGAGTTGACTTGTTGCTTGTTTCTGTTGAGGACCATGCGGGGGGGGGGGGGGCAACACACTCAAATCAGTGACATCATCGGAAGAGATCATGAGGGTGCGGGTGCCATTACCATTTGTTCGCTTGCCCAAGTATTCCTGGTGCATTACACAAACGACTGCAGCAAAAACGGTGCGCACAAGGCGCTTCTGCACCATTGTCAACATGCGTACTGGAAACGGCAGCGCGCGCGCGATTTTGGTACCACGCGGGTCGCGTGCATTCGGCTTGAACCTGGGGCCTACTTCTTCGCCTTCTTGCTTTGGGCCTTGTGGAAATTCTCCAACGACGCGCAAAGCTTCCTCAGTCGAGTCACATGACTGACAAAATCAAGCTTGGAACATTATGCCAAGAGAGAGTCTTGAAGGCCGCATCTTTTGAAAGCTGCTGCAGCGGCGCCAAAGCAGACTTCACACGTTCCTGGAACGTATGCATCAAGACTCCCGGCTTGTCACTCCAACTTATGTCACCAAAATGAGTATTGTCAAAATCACTTGCGTCTGGGATAAACAGGATGAACAGTTCGCCGCCGAAAAAAAAGAAAAAAGAAAAGAGAAGGGCAGGCAGTCCCTGAGGTCGTCCACAACGAGGCCAAACGAGGCACAAACCACCGGTAGCAGAAGTTTGTTTGTTGCATGCGCTCGTGAAACCAATCTAAGCATACTGGCATCCAAGCCCAAACGAGCTACGTGCGGAGGGCGAGGCTGATATACTTGACGTTGCTTGAAACAGACGTGAGCTCAAATGCATTTGGAGGCAGAAGCAGAAAAGGAAGGGAGCGGCGGCTCATGGGGGTGTGGGTTTTTGCCATTTTTCTTTTTTCGCGTCTTTGCGTGTTTTTGACATTGCTTTCCACAAGTTACACTGTCTTGTATTTGTAGCGATGGATAGAGTAGAAGCAATGCACCATTCTGACAAACAAGTTGCGCTTTCTTGTATTTGTAGTGATAACGAAGAGGGACAGGGAACGGATATAATGGATTCAGGACTGCAATGCGCTGTTATGACGCAAAAGAAATTCCCAGACAGATTCAGGAGTCCATGGGTCTTGCTTCTTCTTTGGGCGGGGGTTCCTGTTTTTGTTGTGTTCTGTCAGGTGCCCTTCTGAAACGAAAACAGAAAGCACAATGTCAAATGAGATGGGTTCAGGAGGGAGTCACGTGACTGCAAAGAGGACGGAGGCCAGTGGACCAGAGAATAGCCGAATTTGCGCGAGCTGAAAGGGAGCGGAAAAAGTGAATAGGGCAGCAATTCCGCCCAATCAAGACATTGATCAAGTATTCGTGGTCCACATGCGCTCTATCAGAGCCTTTGCCGGAGTATCGGTGCCGTGGCACAGTTGCGACTTGCCGCGACTGGTCCTCAAGGCTAAGCCTTAGAGCTCTTAAGAGAAACAGGAGCAAACAGAGCGCCCCATGCTTGACTCTTGCGTGGCGTTGCCTGCGCAAAGCACATGACGATTGCTTGTGAGACAGCACAATGCAATCCCCCTGTGCGACGAACATGGTGGTGCCTCTGCCCGTTTGCTTGTTTGCTTGTTTGGTCATTGGTCGTTGTTCTCCCGGTGCCTGCAACGCAGGTTTGAAGGCCGAAGGGTGAAGATCTTTGCTCGCAAACGCGGTCTCCACCTCAGCCATCTGGGCATAGTCCTTGTCCTTAGTCATTCAAAATGAACCTCTCACCAGCCAAGCCGGCCCAAACCATGTGGCGATCGAGAGTCACCCCCGTGCTCGGCTTTTTGCCGCACTTCAAGCAGGGGCCGACCTGTGTCCTGAGCGGACTCAAGTTTCCGGGCCTGCGACAGAAAAGTCTGCACAAGCGGAGTACAAACATTGGTGTGTTAAGGCTCCAGAAGCTGGCAGGAAAGTGTGAGTCTTAAGAGATCCATCAATGGGTTGTTGTCAAGGTCACCCTCAAGGCAGTAGGATTTCTTCATCTTACCTGGGTTGCGACAGCTGGCTCCCATCGCGCATGTTGCTGCATACATTGGCATGTTGCATACTTGACAATTCTGATATTTGGTCTGGGATGCTGTTCCAAATGCTCTCTCCTTCCCCAAGGACCAGCGACATGGCGTTGGAGCCCTGCTTCTCAACATCGATCTCAGGAGCGCGCACCTCGCTCCAAACTCCAAGCGTTGCCCGATTTGCGCTTATGAAAAAGAAAAAGGCGCGAGAGATCGAGAGATCGTAGCTGTCCCGGGCCTCTGCAAAGCTCTCCTGCAAGTAGTTCTTTGCCAGCTGGTGATGCTGCTGGAAGTCGTCTGAAGCGCAGATCGTGGCCTTTCCGACCCCCCGGCACAGTGCCAAGACATCGGCCACGTGCATCAAGGTGGCCTCAGAGTCGAGCAAACGAAGGTGAGCAAGCGAGTAAGCGTTGAAGCAAAGCCAAGCCACCACAACCTGGCCGCTCTCCGTGAGACTCTCCCCCGAAGGAAGGTGCCTGGCCACCTGGAGCTCCGGTGAGAAAGCAAAGAAGAAACGCGAAATCGAGAAATCAAATCCAGTCAAGCGCGACAGCAATTGCTAGTGCAGCTAGTGACAATTGAATTCATGAAGATTGAGAGATAAGCCCATGGTGCCTCGTCCAGGCCAATGACGGGCTCCTCCCCAGCGGACGTGCGGCGCTTCTTGCGGCCAGCATCAATCACGCTGATCCTAAGCTGGCGAGTGTCACGACAAAACAAATCAAGTATTTTGAAACAAGTCTCCAGTACATGTTTGGATCTCGAAGGATCTGTTCGGATTGCATCATCACCTCGTCGGATTTCAAGGCTAAGTGCTCAAAGAGACACATCCGGCCTCCACTTGTAGCGCGATGGTGCTAGCCAAAGCTTTCACAGACTGCGCTAAAATGCCATAGTAGGCAGTGATCGCCTCATGGACTCGTGAGCAACCGGGACTGGCTGCGTTTGCACTGCACGCCTTGATGTCACCAGCCAATCTGTCCAAGGCAATGCAGGACCAGTCTTCACACCACAGGATCAACTTCTGATGCTTCCTCGCACTTCGCTGCTCATGGCTCTCTCTGCATTGGCATTTCGAATTTCTGCGAATATCCGCCGACATTGCGGAGGCGTGTCGGATACCTACGCCCGACGTCTGATACGTAGGGTTCAGGAGGGGTGTGTGTGTGTTTGTTTTGCTGAATCATTGATCTCCACGAAACACCTTTCTTGGCTCAAGGCCTTTCATGTCACGCAGCCGATGTAAATAGCTCACTGAGCCATTGCATCCGTGAGACAAAGGTGAGACTTGCGGACCACGTTCAGAGTAATCCACAACACACCATGTACCAGGGCTTATCCAGCATCAATCCATCAGTATTGACACTTGGGCTCAGCGGGATAGATCCAGGGACCTGCCAATAAAGACTCTCTCCTACCACAAGGTATCGGTTCCCTCCGGGGATAAGATACCCCCGGCAGTGGGGCTCAAGAGCTGGTTTTCCGCAAAGATCCAATCCAGATGTCATCCGATGGAGAAGGTTTCATGGAGGCCTATTCGCGTAGGCCGATCATCCGGCTTCACTGAAGAGACGCTCAACTTATCGATGACCGCCAAGCCATCGTACGGCGGAAAAGTCAGCATGAAGAACTGAAGAACTCGTAGATGATTGGGTGACCTTCACGACCATTGCTGTATGCAAGAGAGGACCACTCCTCAAGAGCAGACTCATTGGAGACGCTCACATGTGCAAGACAGTCCTCCAGAATGACATTTTGCAAGATCCTGAAGCAGGGGTCAACTATTTCAAGAACACGCTGAAGAAGTTCTTCCTGAAGGGCTCAACGAACGTGTGCTTGTACACTCAGAACTTTTCTTCAATCACAGAAGGCAGAACACTGAGTTCCTCATACTCGCATCAAAATTCCCGTGATGAGATTGAAGGTAGCTCAGTACAAGATGCCAAGGCAAGAAGAATGGCCGAGCATCAGCAAGCAGCCGGTGCCCGAACTGCGCTTCCAGATCTGCTATCACCAGACAATTCAGAAGTACCCAGACAGTACCTCAATGGCATGCAGACAAGACATAGGGACGCGTTTCCCCTCAACGACTCATTGCGCAATCAGGGTGAATTGTCAGATCAGCAGAGAGAAAGACTGATCTGCAATGTCCTTGAGGAACATCTCGCTCGAGAAGTACACCTACGAGACGATGAAGACGCAGTGCCACGATCTCTTCGTTGCAACAAGAACATCCATCCAAGATCCATCCATCCAACCTTGCGGAGGAAATCGAAGTAATACCTTCTACATCCTAGAGCAGGGGGAGTGTGAAGGCGAAGAAGGTTTCTGGGTGGAAGATGAAGAAGGACTGGATGGCAACTAATGATGAAGAGACACTTTGGGTTTTCGAGGAGAATGATGCGTTCATTGCAAGGAAAGTGTCTGGGCGAAATTTCAGATTCAAGAAGAGAAAGGAAAATCAGCAAACAAAAAGGGCAGTCATCAAACCCATCCGAAAAAGTGGCTCCGGCGGGAAGGCCAATATGGCCAACGAAAATCAAGCTCCCTAGAACCAGGCATATTGGGGAAAAGGCAAAGGAAAGAAAAGGAAGAAAGGAAAATCGAAGATACAGTATCCCAATGCCGGAAACAAAGGTTTCCATCCTTGACAATGGCAAGGGAATCGGCGGACATGACAAAGGAAAGTCCAAAAAAAGCGCAGCCACAGCAGAGAACTTGGAGCCCGCCAAGCAGCAGACTGCACCACCCGCAGAGCGTACATTTGCCGGTTGGACAGATCAAGATTGGGACCATCATGGAATGGAGTGAATCAGGCTGGTACTCATCCCATGAGACAGCGCAGGACACGCATGAATGGCATTCCATGACGCTTTTCCGCACCATGAGAAAGAGGCCATCCACGAAAAGCTGATCCAAGCCAATACAGTTTCACAACACAATTTTCCTCCTGTCATCAACCCTCAGCGCAATCCAACCTATGCGATCCTGGACAACTCGATGCTCCTCAGTATCAGTCAGAGCGGAACCTCTACTTGACCGTTGAAGGGTTTTGGCATGGGCCGCCAAGCAGTTCCAGTGTCCGGTGCAGGATGCACTAGTCGATCTTGCTGGAGTGGCAAGAGTGACATCACATGGAGAGATGCTGCGAGAGGCCTCACAAACCATGTCTACGATGATGACAACAGCATCAAGTTTCCCTCCGGGGATTGTTCCAAGAGCGAAACTGTTTGGGCAGCCAAATTATTCAAGACAAAAGAGGACACAGCAACTCCAAAAATCATCGGATGTCTGAAGCAGGGCCATTGGATACTCGACAAGAAGAACAAGCAGCTCATCCGTGCGCACAACGCGCCTCGTAAGGTGCTGTTCGCACCAACTGGAGCGAAGGAATGTCCGTCCAATCAATCCTGACAACGTCAGCCGGGGACGTACAACAGAAATCATTGATGCATCCAAGGGCGGAGATTCAGACATCCTCGAAGACAAATTGGAGACTTACACCCCAGGCGAACAAACTATGATTGATAGGTAAGACCATTTTCACCTTCGCAGACAATCCGCTAAAAGATGAAAAATCAGGTTCAGGATCCGCAGCAGACAGGATCATCGACAAGAAAGGCCGGTCGACTGTTGAGCCAGATCCTACTGCGCCATCTGCAGACGAACCGACATCGTTGCCGCTTGCAGAACCCACCAGCGATTGTCAAAGCCTGAAGGGTTGAAGAAGCTCCACCTTCAGCATCGTCACATGACGACCGCTCAATTTCGATTCAGACCCCGGGCTCTTCACTTGCCGAAACCAACTTACGATCTATTTGACAAAATCCGAAGTGAGTGCGAAGTTTGCCAAGCGGCAAAGCACGCACCCTCAAGAAGCAAGACGAGTGGACTTCGAGCGGACACATTTGGAGACATGACATTCATTGGTCACTGTCAGGTTCCTCTTGGAACCGGAGAACATATCATGATTTTTGTCACCCTGAATGGAGAAACGACATTGCTCACTGCAGAGACAGTGACAACCACGCAGGAAGTGGAGAACATCGCTGTCCTCAGGAACTATTTTGACCAGTACCACTTGCAGCCTCCTGGCACAATAGAAGATCATGCTCAACTCCATCAAGGCAGGCACAGCACCTGCAACACTGAGGAAAGTCACACACTGACAGCTCGTGAAGGCAGCTGCAACTGTCAGAAATCAAACCGTCACCTACGGGGTTGTAACACCATTGGAACTTGCATTCGGACGACCGATGCCAAGGTCATTTACGCCAACTCCTAAGCCATCATCCTCAAACCCAGTACGCATTGCTGGAAAAAACAACTCCCAAGCATGCAGCACCAAAACCTGCAGAGAACATGTTTGTGGAGGACTTGACATCCATTCCTGAAGAGGCACATTGGAAGTGTGTGCGCAAGGGAATAGATCCACGTTCTAGAGATCTTTGCAGGAAGTGCCAGATTCAGTCAATGCTGTGCGCTCACAGGTCTCCAGTTTTATTCGCAATGGATTTGACGTGATGACATCCAAGGGACGATCCTATAGCTGTGGATTCTCTCATCAGCAAGTCACAGACAAGAACCATGTTGACCGATTGTGTAAGAACATGACCGAGCACTCCTAGTCTTGTACTCATCCAAGCAAGAATCCTTTAAGGCTTCATCCACATCCGCGCTCATCGGAAGGAGGAAGCAACAGCCACTGAGACAAGAGCCTGTCAGAAGCAGATTCTCAAGGCTAAGCATCTTGAGTGCAAATCCTGGCTTGACAGTGAAGTATTCGACCTAGTCGACACACGCAAGATTCAGGTCAGAAACTGGGTCACCGGTCGCTGGGTTCTTACCCTAAGCGAGACAAGGATGGCAACTTTCTGAAGACCAAGGCTCGCTGGGCCCTCCGGGGTTTTCAGGACAAGCAGAAGAATGATCAGCAGACAGTCCTGCTGCATCCAGGAGTGGTTTCCGCCTTGCGATCCAGGGCTGGAACATTTTTCATATGGATTTGAAGACAGCATTTCCCCAAAAAGAATCGTGACATCATTCATTTGCCAACTCCCTCCTGAAATGGGAATATCCTCCACACATTGGTGCTCGCGTGCAGAAACCTGCCTACGGGCTGAATGATGCGCCCCGCAGATGGTGGAGTATCCTAGACTCGGCGCTCCGTTCATACGGATTAGTGCCATGCGAGCAGATCGTTGTACATATGTTTACTACGGTAAAAAGCTTCCGAAATCCACACTGATCAGCGAAAAGAAATCATCCAACACATTCGTTTTAGAAGGTGCAATTGATTACCTTATGGGTCCTGTTTCCGGTAACAACGCCAAGAACCGACAAGTTCATGGAGCACTATCTATGTTGATGATCTTCTTATGACTCGACAAGGATTTGAAAGATGACCTCACGCCACAAATGCACACGGCATACAGAAGTGTCCTAGGTCAGATCAACTGGTTACAATCGCGAACACAATTCCACATTGGTTATCAATTCTCCAGGTGCGCATCCAAGGCAGCATCACCATTGAGGACGTTCGCGCCATCAATACACAGTCAGAACCATCAAGAGCACACCGCTTAGCATGAGATTCTGGCCCCTTCGTGGGAGGACACGTGTAGTTGGTCATCCAGGTGCATCCTATCGCGACAATGAGACAAGTCATCCCAACGAGCACATGTTATCCTTCTCGCAGAAGAACCAGAACTTCACCGGGCATGTCGAACTCCAGAGGTTCACTGGTTGATTACGAGACGCATAAGATCACAGCTACAACCATGTCCACAACTGTTTTTGCGGAATTGCGCGGACTCATGCGTTATTCCGGTTCAGCCTGATTTCTTCGCGGTCTCTGGTCAGATAATGCAGGCGAAGCACATTCGAACTGATGCCAACAATTTGGTTACAACAGCCGGTGTCGCAAAACAGGGGTCCCAGGCTCGAATCCCCTGCCGGCTCTTTGCTGGTTTGGGTTTCCTGCCTTATTTTGACGAACATCTGGAAAACTCTGTGTATTTTGACATCTTTTTTGCAAAAACACTGGAAAACCGTGTTTTGTTTCTCGCGGAAAATGCCAAAAAGCAAAAGGAAACTGCAAGGAAGTGCAAAGAAATGAGGGGAGAAAATAGGAAGTCGACATGACAGGAAAGCAAGGGGAAATGAAAGGGAAACAAAGGGGGACATAAAAGGGACAGAAATGAAAAATCGGCACGACGGGAGATGTAGGGAAATGCCGAGAGAGAGAGAGAGAGAGACAGAGAGAGAGATAGAGAGAGAGAGAGAGGGGAGCAGAGGGAGGGAGACAGGACGACAGAACGACAGAACACACGGGGCAGGACAAGAGAGAGAGGAAGAAGGAGAGAGGACAATGTCGGCGGACTGAGCCGGAGGCTCTAAAGTATTTTGCTTTTAACTGCGCATGTCCTTTCCGGTTTTCCCCCTTTTCCCTTTTCGGTCGGGGCTCTTGGCTCGCACCAGGCACCGCAGCGTGGCCAGCACAGTCTCCGCCGTGACACCCAGCCCACCTGGCGCCGGAGGCGGGGCGAACACCAGGCCCACGGACTCGACGCCGTCGAAGACCTGGAGGCTCCGCAGCACCGCTGCCTTTTCCTCGAAACAAGGAGAGACGAAAAGACGAAGCATCTCTGAGTTCAAAGAGTTCAAAGACTCGAGAGAAAACAAGAAAACTGAGATAGCTGAAGGTCTTGGACTCGCCTTTGGACATTGCTACATTGAAGAAACGATTGCTGATTACTTTCGATCGATGTCTCGATGTCCCTGCATGCAACTCTCACCAATGGTCTATGTGCGAAGGCGCGGCATTTTCCTTCTCTTTCAAGACGTCTACTTTGTGCTGTTCGACCAGGGCCACCAACTCCGAGGCCTCCTTGTCCTGATCAAGGGAAGTTTGCCGAATTCGTACCAAAGCCTTTCAGCTTTCAGCTTGCGGTTCCGATCCCTGTCCCTTGTCTCCGTTCCTCTGCGAAGTGGCGCCGGCAGCCCGCCATGATCTCATTCCTTATGTTTGGGAGCTCTGGCAACGAGCGCCTTGCGCAAGACTCGCAAATCGTCAAATGTACAACAGCTTCTCTGTGCAATTCCGCGCGGAATTTCGTGTACCTTGCGCGGCTTCCGTTGCGCTAATTCATTTTGCCACGGGGAAGGCGACGCTGAGACTCAAGTTGTCAAGGCTGCTTGGGACGCTTCCGCCAATGGGCAGGGCGCCTTCACCAGCACCTGCAGAGCACCTTCAAAGCCTCAATTTCTTGGGCCCCGATCGCTTGCACCTCGCGTTCCAGTCTCACATCGCTGGCGGGGGTGTGTGCCGCTGGCCTGCTTTCGCTCCAAATTCTGCGGTTGCGGTCTTGGTGTGTCTTGCGGGTTTCTTTAAAAAAGTCTTTGCGGCTGTCTTGGTCGAACTCGGGGCGCCTTTTGAAGGTACTTGTGGGGATGTCTTCCGGAGGCTGTGTTCGGAGAATTTGTTTTGCGGGGACGTCTTCATGGGGGTGTCTTTGCTGACGTCTATGATACGGGGTCTGTGCTTGAGGTTTGTCATTGCGGGCGTCTCCGGGGCATGTGGGGGAAGACGTCTGAGAGAGTGTCTCAGGAAATGTCGGTTGAGGCTTTGCTGGTGGCCATGTCTTTGAACGTCTTCTGGGGAAGTTTGCTGCGGTGTTTTTGTAGGAACGCCTCGGGGATGTGTTGGGAGACTTCGTCGGGGCTGACTTTGGGGTTCTGTTGGAGCGCCTGCGGGATGTCTGTGGACATGCGTTTGGACCTGTCTGTCCTTGGGGGGTGGTTCTGGGCATGTGTTGCGGAATGCTTTTGCGTCGATCGCTTTCATTGGATTTAGGGGATATTCTAGTCAAATTTGTGTGGGGGTCGTATGTCTCTGCATTCGGGTTCGTGGCCTCTATCAGGCTTCTTCGCAAAGTGTACGTGCAAGAGTGATCCTGCAAGTTCTCTCGCGCAAGTGTGGCAAGTCCTCTTGTGCAATTTCTCCTGGAAGTTCCCTCGTGCAATGTCTCCTGCGCAGCTTATCTTGAGCAATTCTTTACCCGCGTTCTCTAGCGCAAGCTGCTTCGTGCAAGTGCGTGCATTTTGCTTGCGCGACTTCTCTTGCGCAATGTTTGTGCAAATTCCATTGCTCAAATTGTTGCGCAAGTCTTGTTGAGAAAACGATCTGCGCAACTTCTCTTGCGCACTTCGAGGCGCCAGCTATCTTGTCATATTCCCTTGTGCAACTTCTCGAGCTCGCTCAACTCTCTGCGCAAGAACTTGTCTTGTGCAATTTCTCGAGCAAAATCAGTGCAAGCTCTTGCTATTTTAGTGGAAGAGTGCTTTTCAGTTTTTGAAATGCGATTTGCGAGCGTGAGGCGTAGCTTTGGTAGCTTTGGATAGCTTCGGCCTGTGCGTGCAAGCGGCAGTCTTTGAATGCACGACTCCTTCAGGCCCTGCTCCGAAAGCTTGCCGTCGATAAAGTCGCGCTCCAGACTGTCAGCCTGCGACGCCACACAAATTTCTAGCTCGGGTAGATTGCGCAGGTCCTCGTCATAGGTGATGCCATCAACGGTGATTTGATGGCGGCCCTTGGAATTTTCCTGAGCTGTGCTAGGAAAAACTGTAGCCCTGCCCAAGAAAGCCAAAAGCGGGCAAGCAATGTCCAAGCCACCAGCACAAGGTAACCTGGGCGGGTGGAGCTGAGCGTAAAAGAGTGCTTGAAAGAACTGAGCTGCTGGCGGATGTAGTCAATAACGGGGTTGTTTAGAATCCACTCTTCGGTATCACCTTGTTGCTCGCTTTGCTTCGCTGTCTTCTTCTCCTTCTCTCCTGGAATGCAAGAAAACAACAAAGGTGAACAAAAAAGCAAAAAAAGAAAACACGAGCACGCAGGCGCGAGGGCCCCAGGCCAAGCCGCTTGGGCACGCTGCGTTCGTTATCTTCCGTCGCACATCCTCCGGACTGTCCTGGCGCAAGGCATCGCAAGGCAATACCTAAAGGGCTGAGGGAGGAAAAAACATCATGCAGGAATGAACAACTTAGTCAGGTAGTAGTAGTCGTAGTAGTAGTAGTAGTAGTAGTAGTAGTAGAAGTAGAAGTAGTAGTCGTAGTCGTAGTCGTAGTCGTAGTCGTAGTCGTAGTAGTAGTAGTAGTAGTAGTAGTAGTAGTAGTAGTAGTAGTAGTAGTAGTAGTAGTAGTAATAGTAAAAGCAGTAGGAGAAGTAGCTGTAGTGGTTTCAGCAGTAGTAGAAGTCGTAGTAGTAGAGGTAGAAGACGAAGTAGTAGTTGCAGTTGCTGTAGCAGTAGTCGTCGTCATCGTAGTAGTCGTCAGTAGTAGTAGTAGTAATAATAGTAGCAGTAGCAGTAGCAGTAGCAGTAGCAGTAGCAGCAGCAGCAGCAGCAGTAGCAGTAGTGGCAGCCGTAGTGGAGTGGTGGTAGTAGCACTGCCACCCTAACTGCCCTTTCCTCCTCACTTAGTCTTTTTCTTCTCCAGTTCCACTCTACATTGGTAACTTCCCAACTGGCGCCCCTACTAACTTACTAACTTGCTATCTGGCTAACTGGCTGTTTTGCTAACTGATTCTGTCTGGCGTACCTACTAACTTGCTAGCTGGCCAACTTACTAACTGCCCTTTGCTCCAGGGTGCACCGGATACTAACTTGCGAACTGCCTTCTCCTTCACATGGTCTGGAATGACCGAATTACTACTTTTTGACGCGCGTGCCCCTCAAAACTTAGGCTGTTAAAGCACATTGGGAACATATGCAATGACCTATGCAATGAGCCCGTGGGGTCGCCTCCATGAACACGGCTGAGTCCGGATCGCTCTTGGACATCTTGGCCTGACCAGCCTTGAGACCCATCCTAAGTCAAAGAGCAGTCCTGGCTTGTTGGTGACATATTGACATATATTCACTGAGGGAGTGGCATCATGTGATGCGACAGTATGATGGGCTTGTTTTTAATGCCCACAGAGCTGCAATACTCCCGAGCTTGCATGTTCACCTGCGGATTGCAGGGATTGCAGGGGTTCCACATGGTCGAAGCGCTCAACCCCCAATTCTCACCTTCCGCTGGTCGAGACCAAGTTGACAGATGTCCGCACGCAGCAAAAAAATGTCCTAGGAACCAAGCAACACTGTCCCACTTGCATGACTTGGCTGTTCTCGTCCCTCACCTTGGTTTCCATGCCAAGCTTCCGTACACTGCATCAAGGGATACAGGATTTGGGCCGCGGTCAGGTTGCCTTCGTCGCGGCCCATAATGGTGCAGCACCTGCTGTCATATCATATCGGATGGTGCAGTGAGAATTCGCATCGCTTCGCCTCTTCACACGCACGAGGGAAGTCACGCGGCTGATGTCCAGCATCTTGGTCCAGTACCTTTGCGCGAACCGATTTCTTGAGTCACGTGCAAATGCACAAGATCCGTTCAGGCAACAGCTGAGCGGCTCAGTAGCATTCTCGTAGATAAAGTCGGAGGTCCAAATAAAGCGGACGTTCTCCATTTTCATGCCGCAGGACTTCCAAACATGCACGAAGTACATGCCTGTGTCCTACACGCAAAAGAGAGGAATGCAAACTCGATCTTGTCAAAGCTCCTACCTTGATCTTTTTCATATCCCCGCCCATCTTGTCGTTCATGAGCGCAAACCAGTCTGCCACATAGAATTTGAAGATTCCTCCTGCCTCTGTGCACTTGTTCACCTTGGCTGCAGCACGGTAGCAGGCGGTGCTTCAGAGATGCGGCCAAGGTACATTGACAGCCTTGAAGAGACCCTGCGCAATGTGCATGCGACCGGAAGGCTCGAAGCCATCATAGAGAACAAACTGCTTCTTGCGCCTGAGCTTTGCGAGCGCCTTTGTGAATTCGCAGGCACCCAGCCGAGTTTCGCGATCAGCTCCTTCAGTTCTGGCTCTGTTTGGCCTCGGATGGAGATTTTGCACGGCGTGGAGATGTTGCTTTGGTCGGCCAAGATGCATTCCTCACCCACGCTGCGCAGGAGCTGGAACTTCTGATCTAAATCCACACCCGGCGCAGGCTCCGCAGGCTCCGCAGGCTCGGCAGGCCCTGGCTTTCCGTCTGGCTCCGCTTTGTAGCCGCTAAACTTCTGCACCTAAACTTCTGCACCACTAAGGCTGGATAACAAGCACATTTCGCCAAGCAGCCGCTCTGACCATCTCATCATGTGCAATAGCCATGGCAGGCTTCAGCTCTTCAACGGTCTTCCGTGCACTGCCCTCAACGTTTCACGTGGATTGAGATGGCCTATTGCCTGATCTATCCTTGCAGGGACTGAGATCGGCTTGACACTTGCTCAATTCATGTGTATCCTCATACGATTCTCAAAAGCAACTCAGCTGCAAAGTCGCACAGGTATCGCACAAGGCTTTGCTGCGCCCAATGTTTCAGGATGCTCCACGAGATTTCTGCCAGTGAAACGCTGTGTACAGTGGCCTGGACAAACCACAGGCAATCTATACTTGTTTCCGAGACAAGACCTATGACCGGCCCTCCATCGCGTGCAAGAACTCCACCACAGCCTGCGCAAAACGGCAAAACGGCAACACAGCACACGTGCTTGGATCCAGCTCAGTGCTCTTGGCCCTGGACGCTGCCAGGCGGACTGGGAATGAAGGGGTATTGGAATTGCGCACTTGGCCGCGCCAAACAAACGTGTAGTTGGTGGCAAAAAACTGGCTCCTTCTCACACTCCTCGGCCGAAGACTCCAACGTCAGGCCTAGAGCCCCGGTGCCCGGAAGGCGCTGGCTTCAGATTTTCGGACATGCAGAGAACGCTAAAAAAGTGAAGAAACCCTTCGAAGTCTTCTGCGCTTCTCTGAGGCACCCGCTGCGGCACGGCACTGGCCTCATTGAAAAAAGCGAAGAATTCGACTCGGCGCACCGAATTCAGTCCAATGAGGCCGCGGCTGCTGCAGCACCGCGTGGGTGGAGACCTTCGGGTGCCCTGGCAGCGGCTCCACCTGAGTAACGCAAAAAGTCGGAAATGCAAAGCAAACAATTTCCGGGGAAACCCTAGCAGCCGTATGTGCAAGATTCCCACCCTTGTTTTTCAGGCCATTGACCTCATGGCATTCGTCAAAGAAAAGGGGGCTCGCTTCATTGCATTTCGCTCCCGGGTACCAATCGCAACAATATACCAGGGACTTCCAGTACAACTGAGCAGACCAGCGCCTTCTCCTCACACAGCATAAACTAATAAGATGTCATCAGACAAAGAATGCTTCATACACCATCGCAGGCCGACCTATCGGCGAGCGATGCTGGAGAAAGAGAACTGATGGATGACCGCCAAGCAGCCACCACCGTAAGTCAGCTATGAGGAACTCATTGATGATTGGATCTCAGTCACAACCGTTGAAGCAGAGCACTGGGGACCTCTCCCCAAAAGCAGACTCGTGGGCGATGCACTCATGTATCGCGAGCTGCTAGACAATACGGATTTTGCTGTAAGATTCAACCAAAAAGGTCAACTACTTCAAGAACACGCTGCAGAAGTACCCTGAAAGGAACGACCAACGCGTATCTTTATTGACGCCTCAGCTTCTTCAATCGCAGGAGACGCGACACAGAGATTCATCTCCAAGTTCGAAGTTCGAGATCATGCTGTGAAGATTGAAATCATCATGGAATGCCCTGACGCCCATCATCACGGCGCAGTCACCGTGATTCTCTCCAACCAGCGCAAGACGCAAATGACAAGCGCCGCCCGCGCACTTCTTGAACCTGAAGGACCGGAAACATTGAGAACATAGGCGAAGAGAAGTTAACAAAACACACCGTGATGCGTTTCCGCTCAATGAAAGCCTCATTGCGCAATTCTTCATGATTCAGAGTGAACTCTCAGAGCAGAAGAGATAAAGTTTGACCAGCGCAATGTCTTTAAGGAACATCCAGCTTGAACCTTGCGCATCTGAGACGCTAAGAACAGAGTATCATGATCTCTTCGTCACGACCAGAACATCGATCCAATATCCGACACTCCGACCGCCAGGAGGTTCACGGCAGAACATCTTCGGCATCCTCGAGCAAGAAGAATACGAAGGAGAAGAAGGTTTTTGGGCTGAAGATGTCAGAAAAGTGTGAGGGCGAAATCTCAAATCGATCATATCGGGACGCAGAAAAGGAAAATCAAAAGGCAAGAACTCAGCATCTCATCCACTCAATACGATGCATGAACGGCGTACGCGCGCGCAATAAGCAATGGCAACCAGACCAGTGCTTGAATTTGCGGCATCCATTGCGCGATATCAGTTGAAGCACAGAAGATACTTTATCCTTGAAAATCTTCAGACATCCAGGATCTGGTATATGCGTTGTTCGTGAACTTGGGAGACTGCCACTTCTGTGCATACGGGCTGATGGACCCTTCACCACTCAGCAGGTTAACCTCCTCCGAAAGGAGATGGGAACCATCGACAAGGAACATGAGCCGTTAAGATCCAAGCTCTCCCATTCAACAAGAATGTTCAACCAGTAGTCATCCAAGATCCGCTAGTCCAAAAGTTTCAGAAAACATTGAAGCAGTATGTGCCTGGGATGGAACTTTTCGACAAGATCCAATGACTGGCGACGTCAGAACGTGGAATGGTTGCAAGAAGTTGAGACAACTCAGCATCTCATCCACTCAATACGATGCATGCGCGGCGTAGGCGCGCGCAATAGGCAATAGCAACCAGACCAGCGGAACAGAATTTGGGTCATGCCTGCATCAGAATGCAATTGGGAAGATTTTGATCCGAGAGCGTGGCACGCACATGATTTTCGGACACTTCGGGCGTCATCAAGCCGATGCCCATTGTAGCAGATCAGCGGATCCGCCGGATAGCTGCAGCCTGATCAACAGCAGCCAACCGATGAATCAGAGCGTCCCATGCCTCATGCCTGATCCAACACCTCCAAGTCCACCGGACCAACACATGGCAGAGCCTGATCAGAATGATCGACCCGATCATCCCATGCCACCGCCAGATCCGTCACGGGGCGTCACTAAACAGCCCGGTAGATCCACCATCGCTGCCTTCACAGCCGCAGCCTGCGGCGGCCATCTCAACGATTCTTCCGCCTGTCGTAGTACCTTAACCTCCGTCAACTTTGACCAATCCAGTCAACGAAGGAAACGATGAAGAGCTTGAACTGCCCCATCTGGAGCAAGAAGAAACAACTCCTCCATTGGAGAGCAGCCCACGAAAGAAGCAGAAGACTGCGAAGAAGAAGGAGCCAGTTGATGAATCACCTGAGCATTCACCCAGCCTCTTCATCCAACTTCGGTCCAAATACTCCAATGAAGATACACTGACCAAGAAAGTGGAAAATCAGAAGACTCTTAACGGACGATGACCTTGTTCTCGATGAAGCACATTGGTCATACATGACAGCTGACCAGAAGATCCCTTTACGGTTCCAACAGGCATTGAAGGGAACCCTTTTCCTCCTTGGGCGTGCAAAGGGTACCCTCAAACAAGCATTCAGGCGTGGATTCTCTCATCAGAAACATACAGACAAGAATCATGTTGACAGACTGTGCAAGAACATAAGTCTTGTACTCATCCAGGCAAGCATCCTTGGGCTTTATCCACATCCGCACTCATTGGTAAGAAGCGGAGGGAAGCAACAGCCACTGAGACAAGAGCGTATCACAAGCAATTCGTCGAAGCTAAGCTTCTGAAGGTCTTGACTTGACAATGAAGTGTTCGACCTAGTCGATACCCGTAAGATCAATGTCAGGAATTTGGTCACAGGTTGTTGGGCCCTGACCCTAAAACGGGACAAAATGGAAACTTCCTGAAGCTGGGTCCTGCGGGGTTTTCAAGACAAGCAGAACGGCAGGCAGATTGCAATCCAAGCTGCGGCCAACAGGGGCTGGAACATTACCCGTATGGGTTTAAAACACAGTATTTCTGCAATAAGGAAGTGCAGCATCAAGATCGTGACACCATTTGTCCTGAAATGGGACACCCTCCACATCGGCGCACGCGTGAAGAAACCTGCCTACGGTCTGAATGATGCACCACGCACATGGTGGAACATCCTAGGTTCGGCGCCCCGTTCCTACGGGCTAGCACCAACTCACCAACCCGCGCAGATTGTTGTAGATATGTTTACTACGGTAAGCAGCTTTCGCGACCCACACCGATCAGTGCAAGGGAATCATCCAATACATGTGATTTAGAAGGAGCAGTTGGTTGCCTCGTGGATCCCGTTTCCGTTAACAATGCCCAGAACCGACAAGCTCGTGAACCTCTCCGTGTAGATGATCTTCTTATGACCGGTGACGATGTGTTTGAGAAGGAATCATGAGACGACTACGTACGGATTTTCAGGTTGGTTGTGAAGACAAAAACGATTGCCTTTTCGTGGGACAACACATCCAATGGAAGCATGGCGACAAGCATGGTTGGTACATCTAATGTTCACCAGAATGTTGCCATTGACGAACTTCAAGAGATCACATTCGACAAGAATTTGAAAGATGACACTCCACTCACACCTCAGGCGCACACTGCGCACAGAAGTGTCCAGTAGATCAATTGATTACAATCGCAAACGCAATTCCACATTGGTTACCAATTCTCGAGGTGCGCATCCAGAGCAGCATCACCCACGATTGCGGGCGTTCGCGCCATCAATAAGACAATGAGACAGAACCATCAAGAGCATTCTGCTTAGCATGAGATTCTGGCTTTTTCGTGGTAAGACACGCAAGGCTAGTTATCCAGATGCATCCTATTGTTGCGGTTCATCACTTTTCTTCGCAGAAAGAAACAATGCATTTAATCCAAATGTTGCGGAAGGAAAGCAATAGCGGACAGATGCACGACCTTGCGTATGTACGAAGTGAAGATTGCCTTGCAGATTGGCTGACCAAACATTCAGACAAGAGTTGATCAAGGCCGTCCTGACAGGCCACCTCTTGAATGTTGACGCACATCCACCATTCCGCACCACGTCGCAGCTCGCCCGCAACACAAAACACGGACCCGACCTCGTGGCCTTTGCAGGAGTTGGGATAGCAGAATCCATGCTTGCTTATCGGGGAACCTGGGCATGACAGACATGTGCCTGGAATTTGACGCGTGGTTTTTTCATTTTGACAGGTTTATAAATCATCAATCCGTGACACTTGCTTTGCATTTGACCTTGCTTGACACTCAAGACATATGTGTCTGCATCCGCAGCCAACTTGGTTTACAACCGATGAATCCATTTGACTGCGCATGAACCA